CAATAAAGAGACAAGAACACAAACCATCATGGTCATTGACATTCTAGAGGTGAAGAAGCGTTGATTGTTTGCATTCAGTTGTGCTGGGTTTGGCTTAGCTTGCCTCTCGGAAACTCTTGCAACAAAACTGCACTACAACGGTTACAACACCCTTGCCCAGCTCCCATCGAAGCTCTTTCTGCCAGACACTACGCTCTATGCCATCGTTGGTGGCAGCTTGGGTGCAGCCCTTCTGGCTGCTGGTGGATTCTACTTTATGGGTGGGGCACCACCAGCAGAGAAGAAGAAGAAGCGCGCCCTCCCTGGGTGACATGGCAGTAAGAGGCATTGGCTCGTCCATTAATGCTTCCAACCTGACGAAAAATGGAACAACTGCATGAAGAAAGAGAAGTATGCAGAAGTGAGAAGAGATGAGAAGAGGGACTTCAGCAGAGCTAGTTCTGCTGAGAACCAGCCGAGGCCTGGGGAGCCTAAGAAGGCCTGGCAGCTCTATGCGAAGATGGCCAACCCGGATGCCACCTTCGATGAAGAAACCGGCCTGTCACAACCCGTCGCGACCTTCCCAGTGACGGTCCCATGGCAATAATAGCGAAAGTTGGAAAATTGGTGGAGGAGGAAAGCTGAAGTTGAAGAGGAAGAAAGCTGAAGAAAGTGGGAAAGTGGAAAGGAAAAGATTCTAAAACGACGGCGCGATGACCTGGAAAACCACTTTAGGCATTGTGATTCACTGTGGCAACTCAAGACTAAGCAGCCTAATGCAGATTGGTTGGAACCTGATGAAGCAAAATCCCGGACTGATACACGCAGTGATGTTCTCAAGGCTTTCCTTGAGACGGCAACTGGCACATACTGCGACCTTCACACGGGTACTATGTGATACTATCCTTTAGCATCCTTTAACTATCCTATAACTAGCCTTTGTTGCTATCCACTTGCTTGCAAGGTGCCTCAAGCTCCCTATCAGGGTGCCGGTCTTCAAGTTGGTGCACCTCCTATGGTCTATTACCAACCCCAGCCCGCCTACATGGCGGTGCCCACAGAACCAATGGCCCCCATGTGCCTTGGCTGTTGAGCTGTGTAGCTGATGTTTGTTCCCTTCTTAGTGGCTTTCCTGTAGGATCCTATAAGTTTAGAGTGAGGAGTATTTGAGATATGTTGAGATAACGGAGGCTAGGACATAGTTGTGGCTTTGGAGAAGGCACATCTTTTGTTCAGTCTCTTGTGAATGAGCCGCAGGTTTCAGCAGACGCCTCGGACGGTGGTGGCCTATCGAACGGCCTAAATTAAAGTTCCTAGCAAAGCGCAAAGGACAGTTTTGTCAGATAAGTATGATTTTCCATACCTGAAAGGCTCCTGAACTTGAAGAGGCTAAGTCAAATTGAAGAAGAGAAGAGGCATGTGTCACAGTGAGCCTTGATTCTAGTTGCACGTCCACACTCACAAAGGGACAAGCCTTTGCCGGAGGGGCCTTTCGGGACAAACCATAGAGTGAGTCATAGAGCGCCACAGAGCCGCGCATCGCGGCGGATACGAAACAGGCTGCTAGACCGGCGATCCGGCAAGAAGCCGACCAAGCTGGGGCCTAACTGTACCCAGAGAATCCTTCGATCTATCATGCAATGCGATGAATCACCGACTTTGACATTGTGTTTCATGTGTGGGTTGCGTTGGCCACCAACAGCCTGCACTTCTTTGGGAACCCTGGCCGACATGCGCCAGAGCGCCTCTTGGGGAACCTCTCAAGGGCATCGGTAGTGGCATCGGTTCATGTCTCCAGCTCGAAGAACCTTCTGAAGCTCGAAGAACCTTCTGAAGGGACCCTGTGCCAGCTGCACCGCTTGAAAGAACGCCCTTCCTTCCGTTCTCTAGGTGGTAGTGGTCAAGGAAGAAAGGAGATGAGAAAGAATGGTCTCGAACGGTCTAAAGGAAGAAAGCATCACACGAAGAAAGCCTACAAGCCTGCTAGAATGACGTTCCTTTTCGTTCTGCAAGTCCATAGGCCACATAGAGGGGCATTCGATGGCGCGCTCTACGACTCCTTTTCTTGCCATGTGTCTTAATAGTGTGTTCGTTTGACCCTTTAGATTTATTGTCTTTCTTCCGCTACATCTTTTTCCGCCACCGCAGCATTCGTGGCTATACAGCAGCGAGTTGTTTGCTTCGAGCGACAGTGAGTGCTAGATCTCCATCCAAACCTGTTGCGGGACCACATTCCATCCTCTAGAAAGGGAAGCCTTTTCAACACACTTCTCCTGTCGGTCATCATGTGGGCACGTGTGGCGGTGTTCTTTTGTGTGCTTCCCTTAGTCTCGCTTGGTCATCTTGAAGGGTCGTGTTCATCCACGGACTTCTTATTGAGGTCCTCGAGCTGGTCAGCTCCTCCTGCGTTGAAGAAGGTATGGTCTACAAGGAGCATTCCTTTTTGGGAATGCCACTCCCATGGGCAAAGATGAGCAAAGTGTTATTTACTTGTCCATTCAACTTTGAGGTCCATTCACTTGTTGCCTCATGTTGCTTCCAATTGCTCCAGATAAACCATGTTTAATCCAATTGAACCTCCTTTGCAGGACCCGTTTCTCCCGGCTCCCGGCATTTTCGTCGCCAACTGGGAAGACTGCCAAGCCAAGTGCAGCAAGGACACCCATGTGATGCCCATGTGATGCCCATGGCACTACATGGCACTGCATGCTATTTTCGAGCTCTTTCTTGTGAGCTTGATTTGTGACCTTTTCGGCAAAAGATGCTATGCCTGCTATGCCTGTGATGTCTTTAGCAACTTTGACGCCGGACTGGGTTGGACAGCATGACATCCCTCGTGCGAGGATCTTTTGTGCAAGACCTTCAGCTTCAAGAAAGACACCGTGCCTGCTGGCGGCTGCTGGCTGATCTCTGCCACAAACTCCAAAAAGGAGGCCGATGCAGAGGCAGGTTTGGGTGCAGTGTGTGAAACCTTTGTGCATTTTCGCCTTCCATTGTAGCTCCAAACCTTAAGCTCAACGAAAACTGGGAGAAGAAAGAGGAAAGTCGGCAAGACGAACCGAAAAGACTTGCTTCTAGGGGAATCCTGCAGCCCAACCTTGCTAGGCAGTCAGCGGACCTAAGACGTGCGATGGCGGCTCTGTCGGCTCCGACGCCGCCAAAGTGCAAGTGGTCACCGATCAGATTTTCACTCCTGAGACTCCTGAGACTCCTGAGATTCCTGCCGGTGTCTCGGACGGATGAAGGACGGGTGAAGTCGTATCTTTTGATTGTTTTGGAGGGCTCAAGGTGAAAAACATCTGGAAATGGGTTGAGTATGGTTGAGTGATTTCTTTTCTGTAGTTCTTAAAATGATGCTTGTGTCTAGAAACTGGAGAGCTGAGGAAAGAGCCTTGTGGCACCAGCAGTCTCTGGAGACAGCACCCCGATTGAAATCTCATACACAGCCGGCCATAGCCAGACACGCCGACTGCCAAGGGCCGCTTTTTGCTACTTAGTGTAGAGTTCTTTTGTCCATCGTTGGATTGTCAAGCTTCCCGGCATTTGTTGATAGTAAAGGAAGAAAGGAAGAAAGGACAGGTCTAGAGTCTAAAGGCCCAAAGAAGGAGCAGACGCGAAAGACGCAAAGACCAATAAAGAGACAAGAACACAAACCATCATGGTCATTGACATTCTAGAGGTGAAGAAGCGTTGATTGTTTGCATTCAGTTGTGCTGGGTTTGGCTTAGCTTGCCTCTCGGAAACTCTTGCAACAAAACTGCACTACAACGGTTACAACACCCTTGCCCAGCTCCCATCGAAGCTCTTTCTGCCAGACACTACGCTCTATGCCATCGTTGGTGGCAGCTTGGGTGCAGC